TACGTACTGTGCCAGCTTAATGTGCTGTTACTTTCTTTCTTGGGAAGAGCCCATAAAGCCAAAGAGCATGGTGGAGGTTAATGCTGGTTCTGCGGGCACCAAGAATAAAGGAAGAAAAGTCTTACTTCTTTTGACAGCCTTTGACGCAGTGCTTCAGAGGGTTTCTCTGTGGCCCTCCGTAGCTACAGGGAGCATTGGTCTCTCTTCAGCAGCACAGCAGCAGTCTCTGAGCAGGGAAAGCAGCCTGTGTTGCCCACCCAAATGTCAGCCTGTAGGCAACAGGATTTGTGCACAGGCTTAGCAGGGAGCTCAGCTACCAGACCCATTCAGAAGTCTCCTTGGTCTTCCAAACAGGCTGGTAGGTGCCTTGCTCTTACTGACTCATGTTGGCCAGACTCTGGGTTGCTCAAGATAAGCATCTTTATTCTATCATGCTCTTGCTGCATGTGTCTGTTTGCTGTTAGCCTGCAGTGTGGCAAAGGCATCTATCTTTCTGTGTTGTTTTTTTTTTTTTCTGATGCTATCTTCAGTTTCTTTGCTTTTCCATTGTATCTGGATGAATTGGGATTTGTTTTGCTTGCTTAAATCACATTTCTATGAAAATAGTCTAAGGAATTAATAACAAAGCTCCATGGAGGATAAAGGAGCTAGCGAGTGCTGGGAGTTTTTCAAGAACGCTCTCCTGGAAGCACAAAGCCAGTTCATCCCCTTTAAAGGTGAGGGAAGTAGGTGGAGCAAGAGAGCCCCTTGGCTTAACTGGGAGCTTCTGAGTCTGCTCAAAACCAAGAGAGAAGTGTACCAGAGATGGAAACGTGGATGAATACCCCTTCAGAACTACAAGGGTATTGCCAGGGTGTGCAGAGATGCAGTTAGAAAAGCAAAAGCTCAGCTCGAATTGAAATTGGCCAGAGATGTCAAAAGCTACAAGAAAGGGTTCTTCAGGTATGTAAACAACAAGCAGAAACAGAAGGAAAATATTGGCCCTCTGTTAAACAGGAGAGGTGAATTAGTCACCAACAACGCTGAAAAGGCAGAGGTTCTCAACACTTTCTTCACCTCTGTCTTTACCAGCACTGTTGGGTCTCAGGCCTTGGGAACAAAAATCCAGGTTGATGCAAACACAGACCCACCGTCAGTGAAGGAGGAGTTGGTTATGTGAACTATTACAGGAGCCTGACCCCTACAATCGATGGGCCCTGACATTATCCACCTGAGGGTGTTGAGAGAGCTGGCTGATGTCATTGCGCAGGCCGCTCTCCATAATCTTTGAGAAGTCGTGGAGACTGGGGGTTGTCCCAGAAGATTGGAAGAAGGTTAATGTCACCCCCATCTACAAGAAGGGCTTAAAGGAGGATCCAGGAAATTATAAGCCCATCAGTCTTACTTCAGTCCTTGGGAAAGTTATGGAACGAATCCTCCTGGGGGCTATCACAAGTCAAATGAAACACGTGATTGGGAAAAGCCAGCACAGATTCACCAAGGGCAAA